AATCCATTCACACTTTGAATGCTGTTCAACATATGTTGTATACTTTGTGATGTTATAAAACAATAACAGCTCAATGTACTCAAAGGGTTAACCATATAATGACCTTTTGCTTACTCATGGTCAACTAAAACCAATTCAATGTGGGAACTTGAGAGCAATGTAACAGTATTTTGAAGGTATTAGTATTTCTATGCTGCTGCTAGAAATCTAAATTTCCTTTTCGCATATCTCTTCCACCGTGTTTACTTAACTCTTTCACCAGAACCATCTATTATTTTAAACAGAAAATAGACTGGATATAATTTGAGTACGGGTTGTGCTGATATGAATCCTGTTCAGAAGCCTAATATTGCAAAACACTTGCTATTTTAACAGAACCATACGATGGTACATGGATTTATCCATTACTAAGTATGACAGGAACACGAGACACCAAGTGAAACAATATCCACAGTACAAATATTTGCATTTATATAGCGCTCTTCACTCAGGAGCACAGCAGTTGAAGGCAGTCACTGGTACTGGCACCGAGGAGTCTGTGTTACCTGATAGAAATGGGTGGGCAGAAAATTGAGGAATGAACAGGTCAAAGAGATAGGGAGGTGCCAGGGCAGGAAGAGATTTGCATGTGAGTAAAAAGTACATCTATTTTTCTGAATTCAAACAGCAGTGAGGAATTATGGTGGTTAAAGTGGATTTCAAAATGGCTTGTGCTTTCTAGCCAGTGTCAAAATGTAATTTTTTACCTGGGAAAAGCATAGTTGTTTGCCCTTTCTCAGCAGATCAATGCTGAAACAATAAATATTCAACGATAGAAAATAACGTACAGGTCGCCACGTTAGGTGCCAATATTTACAAAACAAAATCCACTCACTTCTAAATAAGTAAAATAGGATCTGAAGAAGAACCCACTTACCTTGAGGTATGTGCTGCCACCTATTGGGGGGAAATTTACATGAGCATTAAATAAGAAATGCTGCGCTTTGTATCCCATTGCTTGTTGAGCTATAGAAATATTTTTATGGTACTTTATCACATCAAAAAGTCTTTTGATGTAATTATGCCAAGTATAGTGACCTTTTTTGCAGAGAAACATTAGCACCAATAGCCATAAGATGAATGACTGATTTATCTAGAAGGTTGAATAAAGTATGATAGAGGACAATTCTCAGAGCTGTTGCTCTTGATTTCTGTTCAGTGTCCCTAATTGAGGGTAAGGACAGTATCAGACTTGGCTGTACGTGGCCATTTAACTGCCCAGTTAACCTGCCACCACTTCTTGTCTAGTATCACTCGTGAAGAATGGTGACTTGAGGTCTGCCAGCAACTGTGGGACTGTACCAGGCAGAATCCACGCTTTCAGAGGAGAAGGGGAAAGTTGTAGTTTTCTTTTTGCACGCCTGGCAACTCTGCAGAAGAAAAAAGCAGAGAATATTCAACAAAAACAGCTGCAGATTTGATAAAAGGGCAGTCGATGTCCAGCCGAGCCCGACTTGGCGTCCAAGGACGTTTCGCCTTGGACAGCCCTCCGCTCAGGACTTTCCGACTTATTTCTTTGAGCACTACGGCACAACGTGGAGCATCTCAGTGGCGTGTAAAATGTTTCTTTGGAGTGAGGTCGGAGTAAAACTCAATAGCTGTGGACCTTCAGTGTGCAGTTTGATATTAGATGTGAGATTGACGTTTCCATTCCAATCCCAGTCCAGACCCACATCCACCTCATCTCACCTGAAACACACCAACGCCATCTCTGCCCTACAGACTGTGGAGTTCGCCCGATGAACCTGTAGATGGGTCTCATATCTCCAGGGATAAGCCGTGGAGTATGTTTTTGCCAACAATAATATTATTCTCGAAGCATTCAAAGAGTTCTACATTGTAGAATCCTTTCTTTGAAGATCTCATTGTGTTATCTCTTCAAAGCTGCCATGTCAGGACACACTCACTGTCTTCTGTCAAATCAGATACTGTTCATCAGCAGGAAATTTACATCAAAAACGCCTTCCATGAAAACTGGAATGCAGAGCAGAAACTCTCCTTCAGATATCTGTGTTATGGGGTGGATGGTGGGGGGGATGGGGGGGGTTTGATATACAAGCAGATGTTTTTTGCAGCTTGATAAATAGTACACTAGTGATACCAAGTGGTAGAAATTGTCACAATTAGTTAAGTGATCAGCATACTAGTTATCAAATGACAAGTGGAATAATTCGAAGCCTATTATTTCTTGACATCCCACAAACCTGAATTTTGCACTGTGGAGGGTGCACAATAAAGCAATAAAAAAGGAGCCCCCTGGCTCACTGACTCCCCTCCCCAGCCCAGAGATACTGAAACAGATTATGGCAACTTTAATGTCACCTTCTGAGAAACTTTAATTGTGTGACTTCGTTTTGCACTAGAAATGCCTAACATTCAATGTGATAATTATCATTGGTGAAATTATCACATCATTGGAATTTCGCCTCCCGTCAGCGGCTCAGTTGAAAACTTTATGGCAGTATCTGATGAATCGGGATAAATCACTGCTCCCATAGCTGGGAATAATTTCAGGCTCCATTCCTCACGCTCTTGAAAAAAAATCGACCTCGGATCTGCAGAAGGTATGGGTGAAACCTTTCTCCAGTTGTCAGTGGGGGAAAGGAGATGTTCAGTCCCGAAATAGCTGTTAAGATCAGGTTTGCGGGATATGTTTTAATGGCATTTTTTTTGTCCTTTTGATGATTAACATATCACTAATCACACACACACATCCTCCCTCCTGTTAACTTTGCTGCTCTCTTTTAACTGCGTTTGAGCAATCCAGTTCATAGTTGAAGAGTCTCTGTGCTCAGCTAAGCACGAGGTGGTGATGTGAATACTGGTAACATAGAGTAGGTCAAAATTTGTGAGCACTCGCCTGCTCCCCTCCCGCTTGTTGCAGTGATTTGTAGGCTGTCTGTCAGTGCAGACCGAGCCGAGAAAAGCAATAACCGAACAAGCTGGAAGCCATCTCTTGGGAGGAAGACTTGTGAGTAATGCTGCTGGGGCAGGGTTGAGTTGTCACCCCCATGAGGAAAGGAGGCAGAGAGAAATCCGAAGAGAGCAGCGGGTGGGCGAACAAGGGGAGCAGAGATTCTTGAGTAAAAGAGGTAGAAGAAAGTTTCTGGGTTAGGAATAATGAGGATAAAGGCGAGCTGGTGTAGGCACAAGGCAAGAGTGACTGAGGGGTATCTACTGGAAAAGAGAAAGCAGGGTAGGGGGTGCATATAAAGGGAAACGATCAAAATAAAGTGAAGAGGTGTTCATCAAGCATAAACAGTGGAAGAGGGTAGAGACAGCCTCCAGATAAATTAGTTATTGACCTCGTGGCTTCTTGTGGGACTTTCTTGTGGGCAATTTGGCTACAAATAAAGTCACTACACATGCCAGTAATTAACCTTGAAGTGCGTTGATATGCTTGAACATTATAGATGCCACTTCAAATCAAGGGTTATTATTACTCATTATGAAAGAGACTCTTTTTATTTTGCCCTGCAGTTATGGTGGTCTTTGCTAGAGCAGTGCACTGGAGGTCCCCAGCAGTGTTGGGTTAAGCGATGGGTTGACCCTGTTTTCACACCAGTGATTCGCTGCAGCATGGGATGTCTGTGAGCAAAAGAGTCAGCACTTCCTCGTGTGGAGGGGGGGGGGGATCAACCTGATTCTTTCTCATGCATTCGTACTGGCCGTTTACGAAGCTCCGTTTTTTGCAGACTTTGCTGCTGACCCTATTCGCCACGCCTGCTCTTTAGTGTAAGCGAGAGCCGTCCAAAAATGAACAAAATGCTACATTTTAAATGCAAAGAAATAATTATTTCGTGAACCACCAACGAACCTAAAAGCAGATGAATGCAATCTCTTAGCAAATTGAAATGCTCTTTCGAAGAATACTCACAGCTAATCAGTACATTAGTTCGTGAGGCGTTTTAAAATGAACTGAATTTTCCGTTCAGTGGATATTAAATGCACACCTTTGAAAAGAATAGGTTTTAGACGGATGTTACCGTGGGGTCAACATTGCAGGATTTCTTAACACTATTCTTAACACTATCAAGGAATCGGAAGTCACACAAATGGGGAATTCTTCTGATAGGCAGAAAAACTTCCAATGGACACAAGAGAACTTGGACTCGATGTGCCTCCGGAACAAAATTCCTGTGGTTCGATAGGAATTCTAATTTCTAATTTCCTATCGTTTCTGGAATGATTCCTTTTTTAAATGCCACCAACTGGACTGTACATTTCTAAAACAATGTATTGGTACTGAGTGATACTGTTGGTTGGGCAGCAGCCATGGGTTTCTGTCAAAACCACACGCTCTGGGAATGCTTTTTGTATTGTATCTTATATACACTGAGAAACTGGTGCCCATTTATGCTGCCAGCACACACTCAAATGCAGCGGTCTGCTCTGGACACAGTACCTGAGCATTGCAGCTCTGTGATGGAATAGGGACCTCTAGTTAAATGCTCGACTGCCACGTTGTGTTTGAATCAGCTCCTTGTTCCATATTGCAGTGCCGTACTGCTGCATTCAGACACCACAGCAATGGTAGTTACCATTACAGACAGGTTCCCCATTGCCAAATGTCGCCGATAATCATTGTTCTATTTTGTCAGCAAGTTACCCACAACTAAGCATGCCATGCAAGGCAAATGCAAAAAAAAAAAAACCTTTGCCCCCTTCCAAAAAAAAAGGGAATTTAACTTTGTTTCTCACTTTAACAGCTTGGTAAGTTTCTGCCTCAAAGCACAATTCTGTTCTCTGGGTAGAGTTGCCTCAGATGGAGCTGTTGCCATGGTGATGGAGTGGTATCAGACCTTCATCAAGCTTTGCTGCCAAAGGGGTGGTTGTGGCGGTGGGGCGGGGGGGGGAGGTGAAGTAAAGAAGCGTGAGGAGGGAAAGCAGTCAATTCACGCTCTGAGCATCGCTTCACATATCTCTTACAAGTGATGTCTCCGCTGTCAGATTAGTGGGCACTCAGCTGGGGCTTGGAATTGCAAAGCCTGCGATTAGTGGAGACAGCTTTTGCAGCAGTGTTTGCTGGAGTGTTCGGGAGAGGGTTTTTTTTTCCTTTTAAGCCCAGTCTGGTTACACTGTCCTGACAATGGTATCGCGGGGTCCTTTCTATCAGCGCCCGCTACCCGTAGTCCTTCTGAGATTTCTGTGCCTTCTTCCAACAGGACTGCCGGTCAGGAGCGTGGACTTCACCAGAGGCACAGACAATATCACCGTCAGACAGGGTGACAAGGCTGTACTCAGGTAGGAAACGCACATACTGATCCGCAATGGCAATGCAAAGAGTGTCATTCACCTCCTGCTGCTTTTTCCTGACCCTTTGAGGAGTGTGTGAACATGTTCTTTGACCGTATTATGCTAACAACCCCTCTCCCCCCCCCCCCCCCCCCCACCCCGTTAGCCAGTTTAAGGCCGAGAGTGCTCTGGTACCAGGTGTCGGGTCTGTGTGTTGTGGGTTGAGTGACTGTGCTGCGCAGTTTGCGCTCAGTCTTGCTTGTGCTTTGCTGATGTTTCGGTCTGATTCCTGACCTCCTGCAGCTGCTGCAGCTGCTGCAGCTGCTGGTGGTGGTGGTGGTGGTGGTTGCAAAGGGCTGCATGCGGTGAGGGTCCATGTGGTCAAGTTGCAAAATTCGCAGAAGTACTCAAACGGTTAAGTTGTGAGCGCTTTACTGAGTGAGAGCTGAGTGGGAGCTGAGGCATCAAATGCACGGTCCAAAGCCGTGAATGCTCCAGAGGAAACGTTGGAGAGATTCTTTTATTTGTTGCGTGGCTCCTTTCGCAATCTTTTGAAAATACTCTCACCGGAAGCATTGCGAATGGGAAATGTGCATAATGGCGTAAACGTAACTCTTTCTGGTCCAAATGGGTTTGAACGCAGCGGATTTCGCAGGTTCTTCGGGCACTTTGACCAGCGACGAGCTCGATGCGTTTTCACTGCAAAAATAGAAACCGTATGATATATGCACTTTACAGCAGAACATGTCATTTAAAATTAGAAACGCATACTGAGAATATTGACCAGACAACACCATTCTGGGGGGGGGGGAGCCTGTGTGTGTGGCAGAGGAGCAAAACAACCCAGATCAAGAGGATGTCTTTGCCCGAATTAAATGATTCATCGTTTTACTTGCGATTCTAATGGAAGAAGGGGGGGGGAGAAAGTTGGCAATTTTGTCTTACATCTTTGCTGCCCGATACGTGTGTGTGTTAGTGTCCACGCTTTATCTGTGTATGTATTTGTTTTGTGCATCCATCTGCACAGAATGTACAGGGAGGGAGGGAGCTGTTTAACCCCCTGCAGCACAATCATTTGTTAAGGCTTGAACAAAAGTACACTGGCAAGGTTTTTTAAAAAAAGTAAATAAATTATTTTTTGTGGGGGAAGGGTGGAGACTGTTTTTCTTAATCACTGAGCAGATGTTGAGGGGTATGTGCACAGAGTTTTAGAAAGTTTTTAAATCAGATGTAAGCCTTTTTATTCCTTTACATTCATTTTTCCTGCTTCATTTCCCCCTCCTCTGACCATTACATTATTTCTTTCTTAACGATTGCTTTTTTTTGCCTCTTTCTGTTTCTATTGGTACCCATTCTGTTTTTCTTACTTTGGAGGATAGCAGCATATTTCTGTTTACAGTAAAAATGACTTTAATAACTAGGATCTCCAGCCTAAATCTGGGGATTTAGTAGTTATACATTTGTTCCATTCTGTCGGAAAGGTGAATGTGTCATCATGTATCGTGGATATATTTACTATAAATGCTAAATTGAATGTCCCTGTGCGTATTACAAGAAGGAAGGACATTGCAATATAAAAGAACATTATTTTGTGGTAAGGTGACTTGCAAGACAAATTATTGTGTTGTTGATCAGGAGAAACTGCAGCAAGGGAATACTACTGTCACCAAGCTAGTAAACTCTGCTGCTACTGTTTATTATACAATGTCAGTCAATGCAGCAAATTGCCCTGTAAAAGTTCACACTGCAGCGGAATGGTGTTTTCTGTAACCTGAGCTTTCCTCAACGGCCGACGAGGTGTGCTATGATATACGTTTGGTGCAGGCTGTTCCCCAGAATGAACATCAGTCACAACAGTCACCTTCTAATGCTGTGTGTACCTTACATACCAACCATAGAGGAGTGACAGACAGGAGAAGCACCTGAACATCAGGGAACTTAGATTTGCTGCCATTATTCACTTCTGTCTGAAAGTCAGATCGCTTCATGATACATATGTGGTGATGTTAAGACATTTGTACACGTGTGGAATGGCACCAGGTCCGGTCTCTCCAGCGCTGCAACTTATCACTGTGGCGTTAGATCTCCCCAGGCACAAGCAGGATGGTAAGATTGGACTCCAACCAGGGTTTACTGAAATTCAGCCCTGGGAAGGAAAAGCAATTTTGCACAAGCTGCCTACAACGGTGGGGGTTCAGTGGTTTGAGCCATTCAGATTCAGAAGGTCCTATGTTTGATCACCAATCTGTGTTACGATAATCTATGGAAGGAGTGATACAGTCAGTCTTCATGCTGTAGCTAGGGTCAAAGGATAAACACGGGCAGGATTTTTTGCTCCTGATCAAACCGTTAGCCCTGCTGGAAAGTGCATATGCTAAGACGTCGCCTGTAAACCCGTTCAATTTGTCCATCCCATCTTTGAAAAGCCTGCCCACACTCACAATCTGGGCTCACTTGTGAGGAATGGATACTTAGAACTGTACTTAGCAATAGTTAGAGGCTCAAGCAGGGGCATAATAGAGGAGAATGAGAAAAAAATGCCCAAGAAAAAAAAATCACTTTTTAAATGAAGTCTCCCCTTATTTTAGACGCTCTGGGGCAAATTGCTGTTGAGTTATGTGGATTGTAAATGTGTGTTGTTTCCTGTCCAGCTTGTCGCCATGCATGAATGTGCTGTGCCCAAATGTGCTCGTTCCTCAAGTATGGACCGAGTAAAAGCAGCAAACGTCTTCAGGGCGCGCGTACTTGCGCACAGTTGCCATTCATTTTAGCTGGAGAGGAATTTCCAAACGCTTAGCCAAGTGCAGAACCCAAGCAAGTGGACAATTAGAGGTGATTGAAGAGAAAGAGACAAAAAATGTGTGCGGGAAAGACAGTACAAGAGAGGGAGCAAGACAGAAAAGATCTTAATTTGTAGCAGATTAAAAACAAGAGGGAGGCAGGCAATGACCAAGAGGAGAAAAATGAACGGTGCTGATCTCAATATAAAATCACCTTCCTGCGTGTTGGTGAGCACAGTTGTGCCTCTTACCTAAATGTACAGCCCCAGCAAATAAGTCTCAACACAAAATATTTAATGGGCTCCCCAAGAGACAACCTAAAAAACTTTTGGCTTATTGTTTCAACATTGAAAAATTAAAGATGCTGTTAGATCTGAAAATCTGAGCTTCTGGGCAGAGGGAGAAACAGAATACTTAGTGGCACTCCTGTTATTTCTAATATCAATAGTTTTTCACCAGCAAAACCAATACATTTTAACCGTAAATGTTAGCACCATTCATAAATTTTATCTCATTGTTTTTCTCAAGTTTTATCTATTTGTAAGGATACAGGATACGCTGAATTCAAAACCCAAATTGTGGCTTTTCAAGGTTAGTTTGTGAATATTAAATAACACCTCAATTCCAGTGATTTGCTCTTTAATATGAATTGAAATGGAAATACCTGCCCACAGATTGTTGCCGCTGTCCTTTTGTGTTGCCTGGTGGAATACTGCACATAACAACAACAAGATTTCATTTATAGAGCGCCTTTCACGTCGGGAGGACGTGAATATTGATGATTGAATTTTGATGATATCCTGGCCATTTGCTGCTTTTCACAAATTTGAACAGATATAATAATTGTTGCATTCAACAAAATGATACACTAAGTTGAGGAATTGGCACTAGGGTATAATTTCATTTGGCTCATGTCACTATATAATACCTCACCTAAGTGGCCATCCTTGATGTGCGAGACTGGACAGTGAGTGTTGGCAGACTAATTGTCAATGAGGGATATTATAGCTTTACCCAGTTCTACAGATGTCCTTGGGATCATGAACAGGAACACCAAGTTTACTGATTTTGCTCCCTCTCTAGGCCTCGGGATGCTGAGGCCAATTTTAGCACACATATAACCTCTCCAGCTCAGATAACTTGCCATAGGCTAGGAACCCAACCTTCCTGGTCTGCAGGATTTAAATATATTCCGGGCAATGGGTTTACCAAATGAGCCACCAGGAGTCTGTTGTGTGTTTCTTTAAGCACAGTGCAGAGTTGGCAAAATGTTCTAGCCATTATAACTAGTTGTTGTTGCCCTGTTTCGTACTAAAACCGCTAGTTACAGACATTCTAAAAACAAACAATCTGTGTAGACAATCACCTCCTATGCATTTTTGTGAAAAATCAGACTCCTTATGTAAATAATAATAATTATAATCATTATATTTAATATAGTCTTATCACATCTTCACAGAATATACTGTAAAGTAAATTGACTGTATATTTTGTGGGTGAAACAAAGCAGCCAATTGCGCACAGCAGTGTTCCACAAACAGTCGTGGATTGAAGTGACCAATATTTTTTAAATGTACTATAAAGGTGAATACTTCTTCAGATTCTGCTTTGCAGCTATCCTGATTTGTCAAGCAGTGTGTGTGAAAGATACTGTTCACTCTCCATCCTAAAATAAATTCTTGTCCTCAACATACTAACACCTCATCAGTAATGCTGTGCATCTTTGGTTGTTCAGGTATGATTGTAATTCATACATTCTATGTCAGCACAAGGTTGGTATAAACCGTGTAGAAATTAGATTTAAAATCTTAAAACTAGAATAGGGAGCAGAGTGGAACAGAAAAATTATGTTATAGCAGAGTAGATTCAAGAGACTTGTACATTATATTAAATTACCTCATAATCCTAGAAGTTATAAAGCAATATATCAGCACTGTTGCTGGTGGCTGTGAGTTGTCCCTTGTTACAGTGTTTTATACTTTAGGTAGTAGTTAGAGTCAACCTGGGAGTAAATAGTGTGGGAAGAACTCATTTCATTCATAATATCCCTGGATTGGAACTTCAAGATGGTACTGTGGGGAGAGTTCCAGTCAAAGTGACTGCTCTGAGATGACTTGATAGCAACATGCTAACCAGGCTGAGTAAAAGGCTTGTGCAAATATCATCTGTGATAACATTGAGGGATTATAAAGCAGTTCAGTGGAATATATTTCTCTTGTAAATTACTTC